ATATTTATTATAGAACATGGAAGGAGTCCATTTTGCTAAGAGTAGTTATAAAATGGAAGGGAGCGTTTTCCAATGGCATAGAAAATGCATAGATTTGCAGTCGGGAAAGATTAGTAAAAATCACTGGTCCCAGTGGTTTTAAGGTACCATCCTCAATCCCAGGTCCTGTGGGGGCCCTTCTAGGAACATTGCTGGACAGGGAATGGTGGGGAAGCCCCCTGGCTCCAACAGAAGAGCTCTGCTTTCATTTCCTCTATAGTCAGACTTTCTTGTTTTATAAAGAGCCCCACCTTTGCTACAGTTAAAAAAAAAAAAAAGGTCTGCAAACTACTGGTAGAGTCCAACTACCCAGGTGATTTCTGAACACCTTTTGTAGATAGATTAATAATAAACTCAGATAAACATATAGGTCTACGTGGTTCCTGATGTTGTCACAATACTAATGTGTAACCACAATAAAATGATTTAGGCAACTGTTATTAGTGGGAAAATGTACATAGGAGACCCAACATTGTATTTGAAATTAGAATTTTCTGAACATATTCTTTCACTCCAGGGGTGGACACAGGTAATGCATTTGTCATCTGGTATGAAATCTGATGGCAACAGAATTATTGAGTCTTTGTGAAGAGGTAATTTTTGGTTTGAATATTGTGACAGCAGGGGGAGCTAGTTGTAGAAACTGTATTTCTAGGCCACTTAAAGAGCCGCAGAATGTATAAAACTTACATTAGTGTGTTTGCATTTCAGAGCTTTAGGAATAGCAAACTATTATGCATTGGCTTTGGAAAGTGGTTGTACTACTGGAGCGTGAGAGCCAAGCTGAATGAAACTCTACCCTTTGTAGAAAAGGGGCTTGCACTTGGATATATGTTGCTGTGCAAGATTAAGACAAGTTAAGGGTGTGGGGGTGGAGGGAGCAGTGGGGATGTGTTTTTATAGCTTAATATTACTTGATGACCATTAGAACATTGGCTTCAAAAAATAAGGCATATGATCCTGTGGGAAAATAGTGTAAAAGAACTTGATTACATTATGGAATTATTTGTGTTATTAGATTGTTGTCTTTTTTTTTTTTTTTTTTAAAGATTTTACTTATTTGACACAGAGAGAGAGATCACAAGTAGGGAGAACAGCAGGCAGAGAGATAGTGGGGGAAGCAGGCTCTCTGCTGAGCAGAGAGCCCGATGCGGGGCTTGATCCCAGGACCCTGAGACCGTGACCTGAGCCAAAGGCAGAGGCCTAACCCCTGAGCCACCCAGGTGCCCCTAGATTGTTGTCCTTTTTAGGTGATAGTAAACATTCCATTGAAATCCACATTTTCTCCTAGGAAAAACTAAAGAACATTTGCTTGTTATCCCACAGGATTCTGAAATAAAGACCTAACTGCTTTGTAGTTCCAAATACCAATAAGTTTTCTGAATATGTAATTTAGAAGTTATTACTACTCATGTCTTTCTGTGTGTGTGTGTGTGTGTGTGTGTGTGAATCACATATTGAACCAAAGAATTGTCTTGGTTTGGTTTTGTGTTTTTATCATTTCCCTAAATCAAATGCAATGATAAGAGAAGAGCAAATATTATGCATGTATTTCTTTTCTCTCTGAATTTTGTTTTTCAGTGTATCATATGTATTAAGAAATTGGGGTTTCTAAAATGATGGTTTATTTTGTTGGCTAGGTGAATAGAAAGTCACCTCCTTTTGGCATTAGTTTTACAGTTATGAGATCATTTAAAACACACATTTTAACGTTTTTTGCTGAAAACTAGAAATAACATCTTCCTGTTACTTGATGTACTTATTCAACGAACGTGTATTGCATGCCTACTATGTGCCTGGTATGATGCCAGACGCTGGGAATAAAATCTTAAACCATATACAGTGCTTCCCCGGTAGATGTGTGATCAAATAACTACCATAGGACCTAATAGATTCAAGAAGAAAATCAATTGTGTTATGAACAGAGGGCTGGTGGGTCACAGAAAAGGGACTCAACTGGGAGAAATCAGGGAAGACTTCAAAGAAGAGGCAATGTACTGGTTGCCTAGGGAAGGAGAGGTAAACTTTCAATAGGAGAAAAAGGAGAAGCTCATTCCAGGCAGTGTGCCCAAAGGTATGAAAGGGTTTGTTGCCTTGGGGAAGCCTCAGGAAGTTTACTAGGGAAGCCAGAAAAGTAGACTGGGGTGAGGTGGTAAAGGGTCTCGTGGGACATGCAGAGATCAGTGATATATTATTCAGGAATTTCAACTAATCGAGATGCTATCTAATTGATGAGCTTTTGGTGTTCCTGGAAGTAAAGTTAACAGATTTGAACCTGTAGGAACGTGGCATGACTAGACTTCAATTTTATCCTCAGCAAGTGGTCTCGATACGTCCTCTGTTCTCAAAGGTGCCGAGATGAAAACAGCGCTGCATCCCTGTGTATCTTTAGCTGTGATGGGGGGAAAAGCTGCAGGCACAAATTCCATACAAAGCGCATTTACTGAGCATGTGCCAAGCACTCTGGGAAGCGCTGGGAGGTGTGCCCTGTTGCTTAGGACAGATGCAGCTGCCTTCCCGACTCCCCCCCCCCCCCCCCCCCCCCCCCCCCTTCCTGGAATGTTCTTCCTCCTCACCTTTAGCCAGTTGGTACCTTCTTGTCATGGGTCTTATCTTAAATATTCCCTCCTCTTAGAGAGTACTCTTTCCTCAGAATCTACTCTGCAGGAGGGTTCTTGTGATCCTTTTATAACTTCCTCTTTTCTCTGTCATCCACATGCCATGATTTATAATTAACGTGTACATGTGCTGGTGCACCTGAGCTATCATTCTCTCCCCTACTAGACTGGTAACTTCCTTGGGACTGGAGTGTGTGTGTGTGTGTGTGTGTGTGTGTGTGTGTGTTCTCTTTTCCCCTCTATTTCCAGAGCTCAACACTGTGTGGCACACAGTGGGTCCTAAAAAGTTGTAAAAGGAGCATTTGAACATAAAAACAGATTTTAACGTTTCTAAACCTAGTGGCACCTGGGTGGCTCAGTGGGTTAAAGCCTCTGCCTTCGGCTCGGGTCATGATTCCAGGGTCCTGGGATCAGCCAGCGTCCGGATCTCTGCGCGGTGGGGAGCCTGCTTCCCTTGCTCTCTCTCTGCCTGCCTCTCTGCCTACTTGCGATCTCTGTCTGTCAAATAAATAAATAAAATCTTTAAAAAGTTTCTAAACCTTTAACGGACAAATAAGAAAAACATGAGAAATAAAACTATTTTTAGTAAAGTGTAATTGACATTTGACTTTATATTAGTTTAAGGTGTTTAACAAAATTATTCCATATGGGTATATATCGTGAAATGCTCACCACAGTAAGTCTAGTTACCACCTGTGATCATACGGAGTTACAAAATCGTTTTTTCTTATGATGAGAACTTTGAAGATCTATTCTCTTAGTAACTTTAAAATGTGCAATACATTATTATTTATAGTCACCATTTTGTACGTTACATTCCCATGACCTATTTATTTGATAACAGGAAGTTTGTACCTCTTGATCCCTATCACCCATTTTGCCCACTCCCCTCCTTTCCCCTCTGGTAGTTACTGATCTGTTCTCTGTATCTCTCAAGTTTTGTTTTGTTTTGTTTATTCATTTGTTTTGCTTTTTTTTATGTGTGGATTCATGTTATTTTTCTCTGATTTATTTAATTTAGTACAGTACTCACCAGGTCCATCCATGTTGTGGAGAATAGCAAGATCTCATTCTTTTTTTATGGCTGAGTAGTATTCCTCTGTGTGTGTGTGTGTGTGTGTGTGTGTGTGTGTGTGTGTGTGTGTTTCACACCTTCTTTAGCCATTCACCCATTGATGGACACTTAGGTTGCTTCCATATCTTGGCTAGTATAAATAAATAGTATAAATAAATACCCTCATGCAGTGAACATGAGGGTATAGATATCTTTTCAGATTAGTGTTTTTGTTTTCTTTGGGTAAATACCAAGAAGGGGAATTACTGGGTCAGATGGTAGTTCTGTTAAATTCTTTGAGGAACTACCATACTGTTTTCCACAGTGGCTGTACCAATTTATATTCCTACCAATATTGCACAAAGTTTCCCTTAAGAAAAGTATTTTCTTTGTTATTTTTTTAAAACCATTGGAACTATTTTCAGAACGTATACAGCTCAGTATTACCTCACCAAAAGTGCAAGTTCTTAAAAATTAGCACATGGTTATTGTATGATTTGGGGCTATTTTTAAAAATAGTGATCCATTTTGTAATGGAAATTCTGAGTTACTAAAATGAACTACTCTTTTTATATTATATATTTGGGGCTCAGTTCACTAAAATGTTTAAATTCTTGGCTCTCCTCTTTAAACCTACTACAAAGATCACATTAGAATTCATTTTAATAGACATTGTAAGCACAGTATCCAACCTCATATGATCACGCTGGGCTCTTTTATTATGAGAATCACAGGAAGCAGAGCCCGAGGCTGCAGAGTAGTGGTGGGGTGTACCCAAGGCTGGGGACGATGCCAGCTCTATTGTTTATGGAATATTCTCTCCACCTTTATCTCTGGTGTGCAATTGGTATTGACTTTTGAGAAACTACTTCTTCGCCCCCATCTCCCAGTTGGAAAAAAAAACCTACCATAATGACATCTGGCTAGGAAAAAAGGAATCAAAGAACCATAAGGAAAGAAAAATTAGGACACCTTGTTTAATAAGTAGTTTGAGGCCTGTGTGTTCCATCTTTTAGAGGGAAGAGTGTTGCACTTTTTCGAGGTCACCATTCCTTTAACCCCTAGAAGAGCTCAGTGAACTGCCTATCGTTTCTGCTATTGCTAGGGTTGGGTCTATTTAGCATTTAGTAAACTGTCTTTTTCACTTTATAGAGCTTTAGGGATATGCACTGTTCATCAAAACGATGATAAAATTTGTTCATGATATGTATCACTTTTCATTTATGTTTTTGTTTTTTCTTAAAGAGGAAGATGTTCACTTTTGGCAAATTGTTTTTTCTAACTTTTAGGTATATTGCTTGAGGAGTTTTTAAGTATTGTTAGAAAAAAGAAGGAAGTTCGACTCCATTGGAATGAAATAAGACACATCTTCACAGCTTTTGACAGGCACTGTTAAGTATCTTTAAATTGTTTTGATATTTTAAAAACTGCTATTAAGAAAAGTTGCTAAGTACTCTCAGTAAATAAACTAATATACTTGGAAGATTATCTTACTGTATTCATTAGCTGCTACCTAGGTGTTGGTATGAATTTTTTTTTCCTCTATCACAGTCTTAAACTCTTGACATTTACCATGGATAAGATAATATTTACAGTTACATAATTGTACTTAGGATTTGCCTACATTATAATGGGAATAGCAAAAGGGCTGGCTACATGGGGATATAGGTCATGAGCCACCTACAAAGATGTGGGGAAACGTATGGCCTTTTCCTTTGACTCCTACTTTGACCCACAAGTGATTGAAAAGAACTCTTTTTTCTCACACTGGGTATAGCCGAGAAAAGTGGCTTTGAACCCCCTCTGCCCCATAGATCACACACAGGATGGAAAGACTTGTGGAGTCCAGGGTCAGCATCTTCGTTGCTTTGATGTTTTCATTCTAAACATTTGTATATTGTCATTCTAATACCAAGAAAGAAAAAAAAACCTGAATTTTGATGAATAAATTGTTTTGGCAATTCACATAGACTTGAAACCCAGTGGCACTCAGAGAATCAGTTAATGACCTGTGAGATCATCTGGGCCTGCACTGAAGGAGAGTGGTAGTAGATTCTTAAATTCTTCTGATGAGACAATCTCAGATTACCTTATATTTACTGCTTTTCTTCAAGTAAGAAAGTTTCACACAAATATGGTTGAGGTAACAGTTAATAGGATTTATAGAAGTAAGTGAATGTTTTATATTTTCATTTCAAATAGATCATGGGTATTTAACTTTGGAAGATTTCAAGGAAGCATTTAAGCAGGTGGCTCCCAAGTTATCAGAAAGGACTGTTCTGGACGCATTCAGGTAAGGCACCAAAATCTTTATATACACCCACCCCTCAATTTGCCATTTGCTTTTACAAGTTTCCAGTCTTATGGCAAACACTTATGGCAAAAAACTACAGGTATGTAGATTTTTCCATCTATACCCTTGATAGTGGAGTGCTTACAAACCAGGGAGATGTGTATAGATATTTGTTGGTAAGGGTGGGAGAGGAGCAAGGGGAAAAGTAGAACTTCATTGTGTGTGTGTATATATATATATATATATATATATATATATATATATATATTTTTTTTTTAGCAAGAAAAAAAATTGAAGCTTTATTAATGTTTAACATGGAGGCTGGTTCCCTTGTGTTCAGACACAGGTTACACATGGGTCTTAAGTTGTCTGAAGAGTGGAAGTTGCTTCATGGTGTCCCCTTGTTCATGTGCTTTCAGAGTTGTTGATCAATGTTACAGTTCATGCATCCCTGATAGAGTAGACATAATGGTTGTATTATGTCCTTTATTTAGACAACTCCTGACAATATGGGCAAGAGGCTTAAACGCAGTTTCTGTTAAAAAGCTGCAGAGTGAAGGTCATATAAATAGCACGAGCATGTGCTGACGTGACAAGACGGCAGAGCAGAGTCTCCTCTGAGTCTTTGTGTGAGCTCTTCCTCAGCTGTTCCCACATGTATCTGTTAGTAGTCCCTATTGCAACAAGAACCAAAAAACCCAAAATCACAAAACTCAAAAAAAGAAAGCACTGTATTTCTCCCACATGAACACAGGCCGTCTGGGGCTGACTTGATGTCAACACGGTCATGAAGGACCCAGACCTTTCCTCTTACTGTTCTGGCTGCGTCAACACCAGGTGTCTCCCTCCTGCTGCAAGGTGGCTGCTTAGATTTCAGCCATCACATCTGGATTCCAGCTAGGTCAGAGGAAAGGGAGTTGAAGAGATTCTCTTCCTCTTAGGGCTATCCATTGTTTCTACTTACATCCTAGTGACCCAGACTTAGTTTCAAGGCACTGGGTAGCTGCAACGGGGAAGAGACTGAGAAGTGTCCTCTTTGCTCTGGGTAGTCATGTGTCCTCTGAGTTTCTGATAGAGAGGAAGAAAGAGTGAGTGGATAGTAGGAACATAGATGGAGGAACATAGATGTTCCCATTTGAGATAAAAATAATTTCATGAAATCTGACTGGAAGCCATCCCTGCTCCATAGAAATTATCAGGCAGGTTATTTGAAATAAGGATTTGCTCTCACTGTCAGTAACAGTGACCTTTATGAGTTCTTTTACTGCAACATTCATAAGCAAGTTATCGAGCACGCTATTGAAGAAGAGCAAAGGAGTTAAAGCCAGACCTAGACAGAATGTTATAGGACGCTATTACTTAGTTGATCCTAGAACAGCGAGACCTTTGAAATATGGTAGCATCTTTGTATATACTTTGTGATGATGAGTAATGAGCATCAGTATATTTCTTCTTCACGGAAGGAAAGAATAGAGAATTGTTACTGCATTTTTCTTTTAACAAAAGACAAGTGTCCATTTTGGCTGACCTTTATGTGTCAAACAGTTTCAGTAGGTACAACCTCATAGTTTAAGTGTACTTTTGAAAAATACATTTAAATACAGCCCTTCCCTATTAGAAGCAGTGTTTTTTTTTTAATAGAATTTATTTATTCTTTTAAGATTCCATCCATTTATTTGAAAGACAGAGATCACAAGTAGGCAGAAAGGCAGGCAGAGAGAGGAAGGGAAGCAGTTTCCCTGCTGAGCAGAGAGCCCAATGCGGGGCTCAATCCCAGGACCCCGGGATCATGACCTGAGCCGAAGTCAGAGGCTTTAACCCACTGAGCCACCCAGGTGCCCCTAGAAGCAGTGTTTTAACAATGCATGAGAAACTACTTCTCAAAAGAAATCTATGCTTCCAGGAGAGCATTTTTGAAAATGAGTGATTGGAAGTGTGATTCTGTTTTTAAAAAATGATGTGTGACACTTATGGAAACCCTTCACATCTGCATGTTCAATAAGTTGAAAGTGGAATGTCCTAACCAACTGTAAAAAAATCTTATAAAGTTTCAGTGGTTTTAGAACCCAATTCCTAAAGCTATAAAAATTCAATAACTTTAGTAAGCTTTCAAGAGCAACTAATATCAGGAGAGACAGACATATACTAGCTGACTTTCAGTTCGCAATTACAATAAAATAATAATTTTTTTAAAAACCCTCGAAACACCCCTGAGCCTTCCCCGTATTGGAGGATAGAATTATAAATTAAGAGACTGAATGTCATGATGCCCTTTTCCCACTTAGGTCCACATATCTTCATGAAGTATCTCTGACAGCCATTAAAACCAAGTATTAAATTGCTCAATCACAAAAGATTAAATTGAGATGTTTGGAAATTATAAAGTATATTAAGTCACATTATTTTTATTAGTATTAATAATTTCTAGTGATAGCAAAAATCATTTGCCATTAATAAATAAAATAGTGTTATCTTTAATTCTTTAGAATTTCTATATTATGCCTTATAATGTATATGCTATATTAATATAGGAGCATTTGTGCATATAACCTGTAAATAAACATATGAAAGGCCCACAAATCTTATGCTTCCTAGGATTATGGGTTGAAACAGTTTGGAGACCACAGCCAAACAAGGCATTTTAGTTAATTGAACATGCCCATTTTAAACACTCATTTTTATTATTTTTAGCACCATAATCCCTAAACTAGAATTGATGATGCATAACAAGTATTAAATGTAGTTGTGAAACCAAGTAGGGAGAGAAAAATAGTTCCTCGAAGTATAGATTGAAGTAGGCCAGAAACACAGGGATGTCTGTCTTCCACACAACTCTGTTTCAGTGGTTCCAACAATTTTCAAGACTAAGGAAAAAAAATCAGATGCTAAGGCTATTAGTGATACAAAATGACATGATGTTTCTAAGGTTGGACATTCGCTCTTTGTCAGCTGGAGTAGCATTTGACTTAATTGACCATTGGGAATGGAGTTCATTTCCTAGGTCCATGGTTACCCAGGAGAAAGCTGGTATCCAAAGACACTAGAAGAAGACCACTAGAGAGGGAGAATCCTAATTAGACAGAGTCAGCTTTGGTGTGAATGACTGAAGTTTTCATTACCTTCAATTCAGTGACGGCCATATTCTTCCTAAAGAAACCAAAAAAGATCAGGAGTGGTTTCTTTCAGAAGTATTACATATCCATATTACACCTTCATTTTTTTTTTGAGCCATATCAAACAACCACAACAATAAAACCAACCGAACAAGCAAAACAACCAATTCAAAAAGACAGACTCGAGGCAGAAGACATCACAGGATCATTTTACTTGCAAGTGGATGGATCATTCATTAATGCATCCCAAGAGCTAAATGAGATATTTTTCGAAGTTTTGTGAATTGCTCCCTAACTGCTCTGGGAGTGTTCATGTTATTGATTTTATCATGAATAAAAGCTGTATAGTTTTAAAAAATATATATTGTCAGGTTTTATAATACTTACATTTCTAATGCGTGTATGTAGTATAACATTTATGATGCACAACCATAATCTCTTTCCTTTTTTATTTATCTGTTTATTTATTTGACAGAGATCACAAGTAGGCAGAGAGGAAAGCAGGCTCCCTGCTGAGCAGAGAGCCCGATGCAGGGCTTGATCACAGAACCCTGGAATCATGACCTGAGCCGAAGGCAGAGGCTTAACCTACTGAGCTACCCAGGTGCCCCGCCATAATGTCTTTCATTTTAGTTCTAAGTTATGTGGATTCAGAGCTCACTTCCAGGCCTTGTGCCATAGTTTCTGCTTAGCTGAAGTCTGTCCTCTAGTAGGGATCATGACTGCATTCCCTGGTGTCTTTCACATTTCAAACTGTTCACAGGGGCCATTGTCCTTGAATAAAAATATATAATGAATTGAACATTAACATTTTTGAGCCAGTTTTCCTTGAGAATGCTGATTATGCTTATGTTGAAAGTCCTTTTAAATTGTCTATTAGTGGGGTGCCTGGGTGGCTTAGTGGGTTAAGGCACTGCCTTCGGCTCAGGTCATGATCTCAGGATCCTGGGATCGAGCCCCACATCGGGCTCTCTGCTCAGCAGGGAGCCTGCTTCCTCCTCTCTCTCTGCCTGCCTCTCTGCCTGCTTGTGATCTCTCTCTGTCAAATAAATAAATAAAATCTTTAAAAATAAACAAATAAATAAATAAATTGTCTATTAGTTTCTATTTTATTGGCTTGTTTTGCTCACCATGTATCTTCACATACTTTCAGCAAAGTCTATTCTTTGTACTATGTCCAGTGTGGCTTTTCTTTTTGTCTTCTATGGTTTTCTTTCTCTTTTACATTTCTTTCATGAGCTATATATGCTGATGTTTAATTTCCTTTTGTTATTTTTTAAAAATTTAATTAATTTTTTTTTTAGTGTTCCAAAATTCATTGTTTATGCACCATACCCAGTGCTCCATGTAATACGTGCCCTCCACAATTTTGTGGTACTATTTTATAGTATCTTCCCTAAACCTTTCTGTATCTACTTACAACTCCTATTTTATGGAGGTGTTTTCCTTATTAGGGAAACAGTGGTTTTGAGACTTTATTTTTAATGAATGATTGCTTGGGGGCTGCTGATTATAGCCTTTTTCATATAAATTAAGGAAAACAAGTTTTCTACCAAGGAAGGGTTTTGAAGAACAAGTTAACTTTCTTAAACCAAGAGATGATATGTTACCCAAAAAACAAAGACAGAAATTGGTACTAGTTTATTTACCTCTAACAATATCCTAAAATGTTTAACACGTGGATTCAAAATTTGAGATTCCTTTCAGTATTTGAAACTTTGCTTTCTACTTAACAGTGGATAATCATGATTTGTGTACTGAAATTAGGCTATATCAGAGGTGGTATTTTGTTATTCAGAAGTTCTTAGAGAATCCTTTTTCTGAAGATCTTTTTTTTTTCCTACCCACTCCAAATGCCAGAAATTCAAGAGGTTTGAGAACTGAATA